GGCTCCCCTGTTCGGGGAGCACGCGGGTCGGACCTAGCGGGTTCCGTGCTTTTGGTGCCGTCGTTCTAAGCTAACAGCTCTCAGGCGGCCTCGGGTTTTGCCTCGTTAAGAGGACGTCTCCCAGTGGACCCGTTATTGGGTCCCCGGCTCCGTCCTGCCCTGAGACGGACTTCCGGGGCCGCTCCCGTCCGTGCCCCACGGCCCAGGCTGCACGCACAGGGTCTCCCCACAGAGAGGGTCTCCCCACAGAGGCCCTGAGCGAGCCCGGCGGTGGCCGTGGCGGGAAATCAACTCGTCCCCGAGCCCTGATGGGGGGGGGGGCAGTTCCCCGAGGGAAGCTTCTGCCGGAACACCTGCTCCCACGTTGGGGTGTTTCCTTGGGATGATGGGAGGTCGCACCTGTTTTCCCGGGAGGAAGGTTGCGTCAGTGGATTCAGGACGCGATCCCGCAGGGGTGGGCTTGGGCAGAGCTGCGTGCTCCGGAGACAAAGGCGCTGGGGCTGCGGCGAGCCCCGCCGTCTACAGAGAGGGACCCCCACAGAGAGGGACCCCCACAGAGAGGGACCCCCACAGAGGCCCTGAGCGAGCCCAGCGGTGGCCGTGGCGGGAAATCAACGCGTCCCCGGGCCCGGGGGGGGGGGTGTTCCCCGAGGGAAGCTTCTGCCGGAACACCTGCTCCCACGTTGGGGTGTTTCCTTGGGATGATGGGAGGTCGCACCTGTTTTCCCGGGAGGAAGGTTGCGTCAGTGGATTCAGGACGCGATCCTGCAGGGGTGGGCTTGGGCAGAGCTGCGTGCTCGGGAGACAAAGGCGTCCTGTCCGGGCGCTCCTTCCATCTTCGTGAATATTATATTTTTTTAATTATTATTTTTTAAATAAATTTTTATTGATTCCAGAGAGGAAGGGAGAGAGACATATAGAAACACCAATGATGAGAGAGAATCATTGATCGCCTGCCCCCCACTGGGGATTGAGCCCCCAACCCGGGCCTGTGCCCTGACCAGGAATCGCACCCTGACCTCCTGGGTCATAGGTCGACGCTCAGCCGCTGGGCCTCGCCGGCCGGGCTTGGTGAATCCCCTTTAGTTGAGGCTCCTGCCGGCACCTGTGGGTCCTGCCGCCATGTCGGAGCTGATTCTGAGTGAGTTCTGTGGTTGGTTTTCTGTCTCCTGGGCTCCCCGCGGGGTTAGCTGGGGATGGCGGACGGGTGAGGTCCTGGGTCCGAGGGGACGTCCCCGAGTTGGCGGCAGTTCCGCGGTCACGGCCCTCCCGGAACAGGGCAGGTTTCCGGGTTACGGAGCTGCCTCCGGCATTGGCCGTGGGGAAATGGGGGGGGGCTGTCTGTGTGGCTGACCTGTCCTCTCACCGGGGCCGCGGCCATGGGCACGGGGTGGGGGTGGCCTCCTGGCCCCTGAGGGGCCTGTCGTTGCCGCCACCAGGTCACGCCCTTCCCCATCGTCGGGGTCTCCGTGGGACTAAAGAGATTAGGGGGTCATTTCTCGCCTCTAGTGTTTGTTCTTTGGTTGGGAACTGAGAGGGGCCCTTCTGTGCCCGAGGGGACCAGCGGAACAGCACCTGTGCGGGCAGCGGCCGGCTGGTCACGGGCGGGAGTGAGGCCCCGAGTGGGGCTGAGGCACAGGTCTCCTCAGGTGAAAGCACAGTGTGCAGCGGGCCCCCCGAGACCCCCCCTGGGAGCCCTGGGTGGTGTCCTCATGGGGCGCCCTGCCCAGCCCCCCAGCAGCAGCCAGAGCTGGGCTTGCTGAGGGCCCTGTCTGTGCAGCCGGCCTGCTGTCTGCCAGGGGTGCCGCCTGCAGCTGGGATGGGGGGCGGGCTCCCCCTGCCTCCCCTGCCCACCAGGCATTTCCTGTCCCCTTGCCGAGGCCGCAGTCCACTGTGGGTCCCAGGCCCAAAGAGACAGGCTGCTCCTCCCCCCTCCCCCGGGCAGGGCAGGCGACGAAGTTACTGTCTTCAATGGATCCGTTCAGGCGGGTTCGGGGGGGTGGGCAGCTCAGCCAGCCGGGCCCTCTCTGTCCATTGTGTCTGTTCTTCCGCCCCTGTGAGCCCTGAGTGTGGCCTGTTTCTGTGGGAGGATGAGAGCAGCGCCCTCCCGCCCTCTCTCCTTCCTTTAGTCCCGTGGTTCTCCACCTTCCTAACGCCGCGACCCTTTAACACAGTTCCTCATGTTGTGGTGACCCCCAACCATAACATTATTGTCGTTGCTACTTCATCACTGTAATGTTGCTACTGTTATGAATCGTCATGTAAATATCTGATTTGCAGGATGTATTTTCATTGTTACAAATTGAACATAATTCAAGCATAGTGATTAGTCACAAAAACAATATGTAATTTTATATTCAATATGCGTTTTCCGATGGTCTTAGGTGACCCCTGTGAAAGGGTCGTTCGACCCTCAAAGGGGTCTCGACCCACAGGTTGAGAACCACTGCTTTAGTCCTTCCTCTCTCCCTCCTTCCTCCCCTCGCTCCTCCCTTTCTCTTTCCTTTCTCCCTCCTCCTTCCTCCCTCCCTTGCTTCCAGGCCCCCAGGGGTGTGGGTGTGCGGGAGAGAGTGTCTGAAGGTCTAGTTGAGCCACCGCCCCCCTGGAGCGCCTCGGTGATGAGGCCCAGGTGCTGTTAGGTTAGGCGCCGCCCTGTGCCCTCACCTGAGCCGAGTCACCTCTGAAGACACGGAGGCCGGGGGCTGCCGCGCGTGCCTGCTGGGGGCGCCGTCCGGTCCCCGCACTTACATTAGGGCTCACGCTTGGTGTTCCGTGTTCCGTGGATGGTGACGAATGTACGTGACAGTGTCCGCGTCGCCTCCACGACCGGCTTGTCTCCGTGGGGCTCCGTGTCCTGCGGGCCGTGGGAGCGCGTCTCCCCAGCCCACGTCTCCAGCGTCTGGAAGGCCCGCAGGCTGCCTGTCCCTCCCCCTCTGGGGGCACCTGGCTGCTCCCCGCTCGGCTGCGATGGGACTGTAGCGGCTGTGGCCTCCGCTGTGGGTTTTGCGTGGATGTGCGTTTTCACATTTTTGGGGTCGATATTGGGCAGCAGTGACTGGAAGTAGGTGTTCTGTCCAGGCCTGACAGGAGAGCAGGGGCCGGGGGAGGCGGTCCCGGGACTGGCCGGCAGCTGCTCTCCTGCCCTTTGCTCTCGGAAGGGGTGCAGGTGGCGGAGCGGGACCCACAGCGCCCGCAGCCTGCAGCTGGGGCCGGGCCCTGGCTCAGTGGCCTGTCGTCCGTGGACCTCCTCCCTCCAGGCTGAGCGCGCTGCAGCTTCCTCCTCGTCCGCACGCCCCCCGTCCCCGCTCTGTGCACGGCCCGGCCCTCGCTGAACAGGCAGCTCGCCTCCTGACCTCGGAGTTGCTTGGATGGAATAATAGAATCGACCAGATGTTCTTAAAATAGTTTGTTGTTTGTAAGACTCGACAATCCCCGAGGGAAACAAAGACTGTTTTTCCTTTGCTTGTGCGTTGTGACTCCTAGCAAATTCCTGTTTCAGCTTCGCAGCTGTTGGCTGTTTACAGAGTCCTGCTCCGCCATCCCCTGAGCGGCCGGGTGGGCTCAGACACAGGCCCATCCTGTGAGCGGCCGGGTGGGCTCAGACACAGGCCCATCCTGTGAGCGGCCGGGTGGGCTCAGACACAGGCCCATCCTGTGAGCGGCCGGATGGGCTCAGACACAGGTCCATCCCGTGAGCGGCCGGGTGGGCTCAGACACAGGCCCATCCTGTGAGCGGCCGGGTGGGCTCAGACAGCAGGCCCATCCTGTGAGTGGCCGGGTGGGCTCAGACAACAGGCACGTTTTGGGGGTAAAATATGTCCCATTGTCGTCAGCGTCTGTGTGGGGATGTTGAACGAAGGGCAGAGGGTCTCTAACCTCGAGGGGGCGCTGCCGGGTGCTGGGGAGCTGGGATCTGACCTGAGACGGTCAGGGCCTGCGGGGAGGGGCCCAGGGCGGGGTGGGGGGGAGCCACGCCCTCTCAAGGTCAAGTGGAAAGGGCCGTCCAGGGAGAAAGGAAGCAGGAGGTCGAGCCTGCAGTGTGTGCTCAGGGTCACGTCTGTGCAGAGGATGTAAACAGGAAGGGGCCTTCGCCGGGGCTGGCGGCGAGGTTGTCGGGAAGGACAGCTGGCGGGACCTGGTCTAGGGTGACAGGTGGTGGTTAGGGCAGGAGGAGAGCTAGGGGTGGGCTTCGGGGACCCCAGGTGGAAGGGGGACCCCTCGGTTCCCGCCCTTCTGAAACGCACGTGGGCCACATCCGGCCCGGGACCCCACACATGACAGGGATGAGGCCGGAGACGCTGCTTCCTCCGACCTTCAGCCTGAGCGACCTTGGGGCTCCGTGCCTCACAGCCTCCCTCCCTTCAGCCCCAGCCCCTTAGCGCCCGGTCCTGAGCCCAGACGTCTGACCGGCGCTGCCCAAGCAGGTGACGGTCCAGGAATTGCAAGGAAGCGTCCACTCGCGCAGCAGGTGTACGTGGAGGTGACTCGGGTTTCGAAACGCAGGAGGGAGGAGATGGAAGCTCCTAGAAGTTACGTCATTTCTCCAGCATCTCGCACCGAGGGCCAACGACAGCTTGGCCTCACGTCCCTAGATTCCAGAGCGCGATCTGTTTACCCTGAGACGCTGCCCTGGCCTGGAGACTCTGACCTCAGGCCTTTCAGCACAGTCCCTCCCGTCCCCACCCCCCAGTGGACACAGTGAGCAGCCACTGCCCCCTGGAGGACACTCCCAGAATTCTTTTAAAAAAACCCATTTTTATTATTGATTTCAGGGAGAAAGGGAGAGGGAGAGAGAGAAACATCAATGATGAGAGAGGATCATTGATGCATCGGCTGCCTTCTGCACGCCCCTCCCTGGGGATCCAGCCCGCAACCCGGGCATGTGCCCTGACTGGGAATCGAACCGTGACCTCTGGGTGGGGAGTGGCCAGAGTGTGTCGCAAGGACGGGGGTGTGCTGAGTGTGATGCAGCAGGTCCCAGAGCGAGCACCTGCGGAGGCCTGGCCTCCTGAAGCCAGTTTAGAGGACCTGCCGGGGCGTCCGAAGGCCGTGGAGCCTGGGCCATTTCTGAGGTTCAGGGGCCCCTGGGACGTGGACGGAGCCAGAGTGCAAGGCGCAGTCCCTCCCGCGGTCACCAGGGCTGAGGTCATCGCCCCCATCGATGGCTCTCGCAGCAGCAGCAGCTCCGGCTGCTGAGGCTTTGGCCTCCTGGCCTGGGTGCTTGGGGGCGGGGGGTCCCCTCACTCAGTGGCCCTCAGAGTGATGGAGGAAAGTGGGGGGTGTGTGGGTCTCTCACCATTTAACCTTGACCATCACCATCCATACAGGGAAGGAACCACCCACAGACCCAAGTCAGGGGCCTCTGGGAACCTCTCAGAGGACCCCAGTGGGTCCCCGAAACCCCAGGGTCAGCAGCAGTCCCTGGGCCACCGCCCGGCCCCCCTCCAGGCTGCAGCCAGGAAACGCGACCCCTGCCTGCCCCCACGCAGGGGGAGGGGGTGGGTTCTGACAGTGCCTTCTCTCCCGCAGACTGCTCGGCCATGACCACGGCGTGGTACCGGCCCACGTGGGATCTGGCCCTGGACCCGCTGGTGTCGTGCAAGCTGTGCCTCGGCGAGTACCCGGTGGAGCAGATGACCACCCTGGCCCAGTGCCGCTGCGTCTTCTGCACGCTGGTGGGTGCGGGCCCTTCCGCGGGGGGCGTCAGGGTTTGCTTCCGTGTCTGCAGACCACACCCTTTTTTGGTAATATCCTACATAATAAAGAGGTCATATGCAAATGGTCACGACGCCGTGACGCGTAACGACCAACGGCAGGAGGGCGGGGCAGCGAGCTACTCGCACACGGATTCGAGGGCAGGGCTGCTAGTGTGTATGTATTTGTATTGATTTCAGAGAGGAAGGGAGAGGGAGAGAGAGATGGAAACATCCATGATGAGAGAGAATCATGGACCGGCTGCCTCCTGCACGCCCCACACTGGGGATCGAGCCCGCAACCCGGGCCTGTGCCCTGACCGGAAATCGAGCCGTGACCTCCGTGACCGCCTCGTTCATAGGTTGACACTCAGCCACTGAGCCACGCTGGCTGGGCCACACCTCACTGTCCACGTGCAGTTCCATGCTGGTGGGTGGCTCAGCTGGAATCCTGAGCTGCCTGCGGCTCCCGCTGGTTTAAACCGGAATGTGCACGGGTTGAATCCCATTTAGATCTCGGTCCAACGGGGCCTGTGGGGCCGGGGGATTTGCTCGTAAGGATTACAGGGCCTCCGTGCCCTCCGCCCTCACTCGGACCCAGCCTTTTGCTCGTCAGGAAGGGAGAATCGGGCAGGGCTCATTTTCAGTTCATCTCATTTAATTCCTTGGTTTTTCTTCCCATTCAAACTCCAAAAAAGAAAGAACCATTTTCTTTCAACTTTAAAGACAACAGCAAAAGTCTCTCCTGAATGTAGCTGTTCCCCGTGGGCCTGTGGGTGGCCGGCTCGGGCACTGACCTGTTGGGTAATAAGCCGCCACCACAGCCTTTCCTGCCTCAGGGCTCGGCCTTGCCCTCAGGGGAGCCGCGAGCACCTTCTTTGGTGACTGGTTCTCACGCTGGACAGAGGGGAAGGTCATCGGTCCCGTGAGAATACCGAGAGGCGGTCAGGAAGCAGTGGGCACTCCCGCGCTGCCCCTGAGCAGAGCGACCCAGCCCACCCCCCCACCTGTCCCCCGCCC